TATATCAATAATAACTAACAAATATAATATGAAAACTATATGTTCTTTCTATTGGTGACAAAAGTCAGGTACTGCTAATACTATTGAGATTTGTGGTTCATATTCATGAATTTTTTAAAAATGTTATATTTCATTCTCGGGGTGAGTGAAAATAAATATCTAATTACTTTTCCATCTTGGTTTAGGAATTTCCTGAACTCTATCCAGAGATACTCCTCCCCTACCCACTGCTCACTAATTCGTGAACCCTACCCTAGTGATACGTGGAAATTTTGAGCATTTGAATCTTTTCATGTCTAGCAATTGGACTGTGTAAGTAACCTGTAGGGGGCTCCTTTGCCTTCTACTGAAAAGCTGTCATGTTTCGACAGTGCTGGCAATAGTTCTGGATTACAGTAGTCCCCCTTTATCCATGAGGATACATTTCAAGATGCCCAGGGGATGCATAAAACTGCAGTTAGTACCAAACCCAATGTATACTATGTTTTTTTTATACCTAGGATGGAGTTTAATTTATAAATGAAGCACACTAAGAGATTCACAATAACTAATAATAAAATGGAAAAATGATAATGATGTACTACAATAAAAGTTAAGTGAATGCGTCCCTGGCTGGTGTTCCCAGTGGTTGGAGCGTCGGGCCATGCACTGAAGGGTGGCGGTTCGATTTCAGTCAAGGGCATGTGCCTGGGTTGCAGGTTCACTCCTGGTCCCGATGTGTTCTCTCTCTCTCTTTCCCCTCCACCCCACCCTCCCACTCTTAAAAAAATAAATAAATAAAATCAAAGGAAAAAATATGCTTGGGTGAGGATTAACCAAAAAAAAATTTTTAATTAAAAAAAGTTAAGTGAATGTGATCTCTCTCTCTCTCTCTCTGATTACTGATCTGCTAACCAAGATGGCTACTAAATGATTAAGGGTCAGTAGTGTACCCAGTGTTGATACACTGGACAAACTGATGATTCACATCCCAGGCAGGACAGAGTAGGATGGCATGAGATTTTGTCACACTATTCCCAATAGTATTTAAAACTCAGAATCATATTTAAATTAATTGTTTATTTTTTGAATTTTCCATTTAATATTTTCTGACCAAGGTTGACTTGTGGGTATCTAAAACTTCAGAAACCATGGGTAAGGGTGACTACTCTATTCTCTTAACTCTTGAACATGTATGTTAAGGTAACTAGATAAGAGGAAATATTACATGTATACATTATGTGAAAATGCATGAAAAAGTTCAGTAGGTTATGTCTTGTATTCTAAAGTCAGACATGCTATAAAATAGTGTCATGATGAAATACTCAAGAGAAATAATTTTTTGTCCCGTGGACTTAAAAAAAAATGCATGGCAGTATATAATCCCAATGCTAAGAAGAAAAGAAAAAGCTTCTTTCACTTTCCTACTATTTATTTAGCACACTGAAGAATTAGCTAGACTCTGTCGTAAAGCCCTGCTTGCCAATTTTGCAATATATTTCCAGGATAAATTATGGCAATTTAAAAAGAAGAGTTATTTAAAACAAACAAAATATCCTGTTTTAGCATTAACTATACCCTGTAAGACCAATATTGTATTTAATCTGTTTTCTGGATTTTGTGCCATAAATGCTAAATCTATTGCTAAACACTTCACGTCTGAATTTTTCATTTGGATCATCAGTGACCTTTCTTCCTGGTTTGTATGAAATATGCATGATGAGACTTAGAATCTAAGAACAAAAGCACTATTTAATATATCATTTTATTAAATGGATTCCTTACAAAAAAGTTATATTCATATTCAATCCAAAAGTATGAGTAGCTATTAGGAAATAATGTCTACTGGGATTTTGGATGCCTAACTTCTTAAAGGTGGCTTAAAGTTAACAATTATATTTTAAATAATAAACATACACCTTTATATTCTAATCAGAGAAAAAAAAAAGTCAGCCCAACTAAGATTTTAAAAATAAGATCATTTTAATATTTCTTCTAAAATACTTGGCAAGAGAAGTGGTAATTTTTAAATTAAAATTATATCTAACATAATCACTCATCTTTTACTATATTATTTGAATTAAATGTTGAAAGACAAAAGTCAGGATCACTGATAAGTTTAGAAAATTATTTAAAATTTTTCAAACAGCTTATGCAAACACTATAGGTCATCTTTTCATTTCTTTAGCCAAGGCATTGTTTAGTAGCTTATAAACTAAAATCAGCATTATATATAAAACAGCACTATAGAAAACAAAAGGAAGTGATGTATGAATTGTTCTATGAAATTCAAGTGTTTGAGAAGAGAAGGTAAGGATACTACAAGGAAGCAAGAACATATCATCTTGTAAGAACTTGTATTAAGTGCATTAGTCTAGCCCTTCCCCCTACTTTGCAGTCAATTGCAATAAAAGAAGTCAACAGCCAACTGAAATGATGAAACTAATACACTTCCATAATTTATACACACAATTTCATGAGTTTCCTCAAGGTTATGCAGGTTAAGTAACTCTGTTATTCTTTTGAGATATGTTGTCAGGACTGAGGGCAAAGATTACAGTAGCTTTCTTTCTTTCTTTTCTTCCATATGTAATTACATAAGAAGAAAACAATCACTTTTAATATTCATAAGAAATAAATGATATAACTTCAGAATCCACAAACCATTTTCTGAAATTCTATATTATGTTTATGGAAGAAACTTCCAACCTTATCTAATTCTCCATTTAATGTATCTCTTATCATGAGGTCCAAACTAACCAAATTGCTCAGGAAAAAAAAGTAGAAGAATCATCTCTTAAACCACCTGCACCAGAGCAAAACTCTCAATTATCAATACTGTCAAGGACGATCCCAAATAAAAGTCAATGAAACACTCTTAGTTTTTCCTCACTTAAGTATCTGAGTTCAACATGATTGTGAACAATATTAATTCTAGTATATGAAATTTTGTTTAACCTAAGTTCATAAAGAATAAGAGAAAATACAGAAAGTGCATTTTATGCACATTTTAAAGACTTTTCTTATCCTATTACATCAAAGTTCATTTTATTATATTTTATCAACTTGATTATGCAGTAAAATTTTCAGCCAGTAATAAAGATGGGAATGTTAACTCAACAATTTTCTTCCAGTTCTTACTGTCATTATTAAATGTGAGGCATGGTTAAGGATGCTTTATTCATGTGTCTGTCCAGGAAGATTGTGAGTTCATTAAGGACAAGAATCATGGTTCCACTGTTTATTTAAGTATCCCAAATAGTACTTTGAATACTATAGGTGTTTTTTTAAAATGTGCTAATTGGATTAAATTTATGCAGAACATTGTGGGTGTGGAACCTCACTTAAAGGATGTAATATAAATTGAAAAAAAAAAATTGAATTACAGAAGCTTTGGCTAATTATTAGAATATAATGAGAGGAAATACAATATAGGAAAACTAAGACATGAATTGAAATTTAAACTGGACTCTACGAATTTTGTCTCTCATTTAAAAAAATGAGTCTCAAATTAAAAATCTAAAGTATTAGCCAAAGGACACTAAAATTTCAATTAAGAAAGCAAAAGATTGAATATTAATGCTATTAATTTGGGGAAAAATTTAATCTTATATTTTAGTTCACAAATTCCTATTAACCACATATATGACTATATTAAAAGAAGTCATTCTCTTCTAAAACATGAAGGATATTTTACAGCTGCCTAAACAATCTTTTAAGAAAATCTCCTACATGTAAGCATAATTCTCAAGGCCAAAGTTGAACTAGTTTGTCTTGGGAACAAAATGAAAAAGAAAGAACACAAAAGTAATAAAGAACAGAGTTATTATGAAGTCAAGGAATGTTTGTTTAGGACATCACTCATCTCCATCATCTGCTTGATTTAAAATTTTATTACAAAAGATGTCTAACTGCTGTAAATATTTTCCCACTAAGAAGAGATACTTACTGGGTTTAAGTACTTTTTCTTAAATTTAATTTTTACATTCATGTACTCTTGTCCTTTAGCCTTTAGAACTTCCAAGCATATCCCTAAAGGCTGTAGGAACCACAAGGAAGATTCTAAGAGAGTACATAGAGCAGGTCTTGCTCTGATCCAAGCCATGAAAGGCATCTTCATTTCAATTAATTTACTTTGCCTTTATGAACTTAAGAGTCTTTCAAGGAGGTTGACATTTCACTCTGGAGAAGCTTGGAATGTGACAGGGGAAAGGGAGGAGAAGTAAATCAACGGGGTTAGCAATTTTCCAGATGCAATGTATTTTTCTTCTCTTCTTTTCCACCAGAAATTTTAGAGAGCCTTCTGACATTTTAATTCCCTATGCAAAACCACAGTAGCAAAAAATGCTTACAGATTATATGTCACAACACACACACACACACACACACACACACACACACGTGTACTTGAGCATGAAGTAAAGATACACTCCAATTCCCTGCTCCTTTAACAGAATACATTTCTTTTAGTGCATTTATTAGATGTTTGTGTGTACAATTTAATTGACGATTTTAATTTAAAAGCAACAGCAGGTTTTGTAACTCTTTTTTTTTTCTGTGTGTGATAGTGAAGTCACTGAGTCTATTCCTGCTCTTTCACCAAAAAGATGGCATTTAGAAGAACTGTTCTCTTGACTATATTTTAAATCACACAAGAATATTTCAGTTATCACCTTTGGCCACATGGTTTCAGGAAGCTATGCCCAAATATTTCATGCAAATGCTGGTCATTTCAGAAGAGTTCTTTTTACAAGGAATGGAAATTCACTAAAACCTCTAGGGGTAAAAAAATCTTTGAGACCTGAAGATAATGCTCAGCAACAGGGGATATGCCCATTGTGTCTGGGAGCCAGAGAGGGAGAAATGGGATTTATCTCCCCAAAACACCCTGCTTCAATATTTACCTGACAGCTTCGGTATCCTGACAGTTTCCCCAGTGAATTTCTTTCTTTATCAGGTATTATTTTACAAGGGATTTCTTGTTATACAGAAGTAACATAAATCAATCTATAACAGAGGAATTTGTTTAATACATTTATTCTTTTAAGAAGGTTGCATGATCATATTTCATTGATTTGTACAATAGAAAAAAAATTACTACTAAAACAGAGTTTGTGGAGACTGGTGCATGGTAAACCTATTTAGTCTTCAGAGGTTCATTCTTAGATTTTAATGTTAAATAATAACAACTATTCATGTAAGCTGGTCTCACCGTATATCTTGACCGTTAGCAATTCCACACACAGCAGCTTATTGTGGTATCCTTTAAATATGAGAAATAAGAATGTTTTACTTTTCCATTTAAAGAAAAATAAGAGTACTGTATGTTACATGGCCCATGAAATATTGGCAGTGTGCTCCTTGGCTTTCATTCGAAGGACTGCGATACTGGAAGACCTCCTTTCAAACTCTGGCTTTGTTTCAAATGCATGTCCATTGGTAGCCCCCGTAAGAAGAGAGTCAGTGAAAAAATTGTTGAGGGGCACGTGGCTGAACTGGTTCTGGTGGTTTGAAAACCCCGTGTAACTGGAATCTGTCCGAGGAGAGTGAGAATAAGGGGTCATACAGGAGGAGGTGTCACGTGGTACCATGCATGACGTGACCACAGAACCACCGCTCGCATTTCCTGCCCACAAATTGTTCTGAATCTGGAATATATAAAACAACAAATATTACATTTACGCGTTCTCACTTTTGTTCCCTTGCTTTTATTACACCGTATTGACTAAACGTTGTTAACTAGTCATTGTTTGCTCCCGTTGGGTGGTCTGTCATTACATTCTGAGTACGTAAAGCGATGGTTGAAAAATAATTATTTGAGAGATTCTTCCAGTTTGTTTTACTGTAATAGATCACCGAAACCCACACACTTAACCACATAAAATACTCTCAAAACATGTCAATCTCTTGAGTATTCTTTTTATAGTCATAATTTTTAAAATGAAATCTGAAAGATTTAGTCATGATTCATGACCAATTCATGTGCTTAGAAAAGTGGTTTAAAAGATGGTTTTAAGTTTAAATATAGTTTTCATATTTCTAAACAAATGACACAATTTCATTTTTTTCAAGTTCTGTAGTTGGACTCAGTGTAGCAGTTTTTGTTGGAAACCATTGCTGAATTAGGCTGTTTGCTCTGCAGATATTTTTGATCAAACTCATTTTGGAAAATGTTTACTCTTTCATTGCTTTTTATTTCCTATCGTCTTGAACACATAGCTCTGTGAATATGAGAAATATGTGCATATTTAAAACATTTATTCCATGACTTATATATGATACAATGAGGTTACAACAGACATACGACATGTAAAACAAATTTAGAATTCTAAAACATGACCATTACTAAATAATGGAAGCAACTGAGACAAGTATTCAAGTATTATCAAGAATAGATGAGTGTAATGTAAGTACAGCATAACAAACATGCTAGATACATTTATAGAGGATTGAAAACTGGGTTATCATTTGTGTGCAAGAAATTCAGATTTCATGTCATTAAATCTCTACTCAAAGCACTTAGTGCAATATTACCAACACACACAAATTTTTCTAAAGTTATTGGATATGAGACCTTAAGTAGAATTTGAATGATATGAATTTTAAATAGAAAGCGTCTTAGTCCAGATCTGTAAACACGGATAAAAACGTGATGATTACATGTGTTACTGAGAATCATGACAAATGGCAGGAGCTGAGGAAAAAGAAATAAATGTGCCTGGTCCAGAATGGCAGAAACACGCAGCCTTAGAAGACGAAATTTAAAAACCGCATGCCTTGTGCGACATTATCACAACAGCTTTGTAGTAGGACCCAGCACCAATATACATATTTACCGCATCTGACTTTCTTTTTTATGATGATGATCATTAGAATAGAATTATCAATTATTTCAACACCTACCCAAATAGTGTTTTCTTATATTTATTTTAACACAAAGATTCCAGTCTACTACAGATGGCCTTTGAGGTGCCTTACAATACCCAAGCTGAAATTATACTTTTTAAAACAACTTATTTCCAATTAAAAGTAGAAAATATGTTAGTGGCTCTTCTAGATCACACGGGTAGAGAAGTTATTCTGTCACGCAAGAAAAAAACACTTAAGCAGTTTCAGAACATAAGAGAAAATCTGAATATCTAATTTCATCTCTTAGGTGGGGCTTCGATTGGCAAGATGCTCATTTTAGTATTATTTTAATAACAGTTCTTTGTATGAATAGTTTTGTAAGCAGCTTTAAATATTTTAAATCCGTGAGTTATAGCTATAAATAGATATAATAATATGCATATTTGATTAATCCTTAAATCATCATGGTCTATGTTGTTTTGATTTTGGCTCATTCTACTATATGTATCCCACGTTAGCCAAAATATGTAATGACTGGAGCCAGTGATTGCTGAATTATGGATCTCAAATCAACAGCAGAGGCTGTTGATGTCATTACTCTGTCAAACTAGTTCTTCTAACTTGATTTGGGTGATTTTCCTCTGACATTCAATCAAACACTGAGCTACATTGAAAAAAACCACAGTCACATGTCTGACAAAAGGGCTTTCAGGAAATGAAAGTGAACTTGCTTGCTTATTTTTGAAAAAATAAATGAAAGGCAAACTAGTGGTAGGGAAAAATTATTTACGTTTTATGTTTGTTAAAGGATACTCCAATTTACACATAGTGTTTAGAATTTATTTTTAAAATAATCTACTCATATTCTAAATGCATAGGAATATATTTACCGACTAGGTAAAAAACAGGGGGGGGGGGAATTAAGAGAGGTAAAGGCAAGGAAAGTAATCTATGAATATAAATTAAGAAACTCCCTAAAAGAATTAACATTAACCTACTTATAAGTTGAAACGAAATTCTCCAGTTTCCAAGAGATGGGAGTAAATGTTTTTATTTTGATCAAAACTTCTTATCTGGACATGATTAGACAAATTTAATGTGTTACTTTTGGTGAAAGAATTTCTAACATATATAATTGTTTTCTGAACAGAACAGATGGGTAAAGCAAGTTACTACAATACTTTAGTTAGACTTGGGAAGATACATTCGCATGGGTAGCAATATTGTCACACATGTTTACTGATGTCTGTTTCCATGATCTCTATCTCCCTTCATATCTCCCTTCTGTCACCCTCATTTTAAAATTTCTGATATGTCTTCATTTACTTTAGGGATCTCGTTGTTTTTTATATGGAAAGTTATATATAAACTACAAAATTAATATCCCCAGTGAATTGAAGTTTGACTTCCTTTAAAGCTTCGTTTCTTCTGGATTTTTTTTTCTTTATTGATTTTTAGAGAGAGAGGAAGAGAGAGAAACATCGATGAGAGAGAACATAGATTGGCCAACTCTTGATGCCCCCCACTGGGGATCAGGCCCACAACCTGGGCATGTGCCCTGACCGGGAATTGAACCAGTGACCTCTTGGAGCATGAGTCACACTGGCTGGGCTCTTCTGGATGTTTAAACATTCAGATGACAGTCAAGATAAGGTTCATGATAGCTTATGCTTACTGATTAATTACCATGTGTCAAGCCTTATATTAAATGATCTGTAAAGACTACTAGTCATTATAATACACTAAAAGGTGTGAGCTTTTACTATTCCCATTCTGTAGAAGGTAAAACTATAGAACAGAGAATTCAAGAATATCACCCAAGATTGCATCACTCCAATGGTGCAGATCACATGTGCACCGAGGAAATGTTAATAAACATTACAGTGATGTAAAAATTGCTCTTAGGACTTAAACTTGCTTGTTTACATATTCATAATCCTAACTTTGTGAGGGTTCTTAGGCTCCACTCTCTGAAAGCAAAATCCCCAACGATTGCTCAAACTGTTTCTTTATCCTCAGGCCGAATGCAACACACAATAAGCCCTTAATACAAATTTAAATTATTGAAAAATCTCTAAAAACATGGAACTGGGACCTATCCATCTTACAGATGCCATCAAAATTGCATGGACAACGTATACTAACGTATCTAAATTTTGTTTCATAATTTGAACTCCAGAATAATCATACAATAATTATTACCCTAACTGAAGTCGGTGAAAATTACATACATAGAACTTGCTGACTACATTTTCTCTGGGTAGTTTTTTTTCCTCTCTTAAATAATTATTCGCCATCATAGATGCACCTTCTTTGAGGTTTTGGTTCATTAAGCACAGAGTGTGGCTCAGAGGGTCTATATTAAAATAATGGCCATAATAACAATATAGACATGCAATTCTGAAAATCACCAAGGATTGCAAAATACTGTTCTAGACCAGCTTCTTTCCACATGCAAACACCCCCTCCTACACTTGCAAATATGTTCACTTCCACTGACAAGAAGCTCACCAGTTTAAAAAAATATTTTATTCCCTTTTGGAGAGCTATGTAAAAAAAAAAAAAAAAAAAAAAAGGAGCTGTTATCTGCCTCTATGTATCCTTTCCATTTCTGTTCCTTAAAATGATACAGAATAATTAGCATCTTTCTCACATGTGAAAATCTTGATTATAGAAACTTATTACACAATTGCAAGTCTCTCTTCTTTGCGCATTCCTCGCATGCACAGTTTCCAGACTGCTCATTCCAGTCACAATTCCCAGAAGTGCTGGAGGTTGTCAACACCCTTCACCCTTACCAACATCCAGCACTGACAACAGAATATTATATTCTAGATCTCATCTGAATACCAGGCAGGGAAACCAGGCAGGTATCATCGTTGGTCCAGATCCTCTACTTGTGGTAACATTTAAGGTAATATATAATTTAACAAGTTGTTTGATCTTGTGGTTTACTAAATCCATTGTCAGGGTGGGCCCATTCTAGGGTTCCTCCATGTCTCCACCAATTGTATCCTTCTATGAGTGATCCTTCTAAAACTACGTGCCAGGTCTACAGTCATATTGTCTAAAATTGTGTATATATGTTTGTCAACACAGAAGCAATATAAAAATCTCACTCTAACTCATATTTTGGAATAAAAGAATGCCTATTTTTTTTCAATGGAATTGCTACTATTTTGGACTATTTCACAGACACCTACAATGGCAGTGCCCAGCACCAAATAAATGTGGGGGTGTTTCTGTTGGCCTCTGACTGTATAATAGTCAAGCGCTTTACAACCAGGAACAATGTTATTAAATACCCTTCTTTCATGTGTACTGAAAAAAGAAAAAAGAAAGAAAAGACTGCCTGCCTTCACACTTTTTCTTCTTTGTGTTTAAAAGGAGTGAAGTATCTTAAAACATTCCATGTTTTAATGTGCTTTGCAACGTTTTTAAAAGTTCTAGGGGTATGTTCAAAGCACTGTCCAGGGAACTTAGCCAACTGCCTCCCATTAGCATGAATGGAAGTTCTGCTGACTTCTACACTCCACTTTGAACATTTATTTGCCCCTTAATGTTTTCCTAATCAAATAAAAAGCTAACACTTAATTATTCCATGACTTTGAATTTTGGAGGAAAGTTATTTTTTGTCTGATTCTTTCCAAATTGAAATCAAATTTATTTAACATTCATTTTTATTCTAAGAAACTAAAAGCTACAGGCAAGAAGAAGAGGATTTATATATATGCATGAGATTATATATATAAATATATATATAAATATATATAAAACACAATGAGTTCTTCACTGTGGA